ATTAATTATTAATCACTAATTACTGCTATTGTTTTTATCCTTATTACTTCGATTCTATAGGTTAGTGAGCTATTTTCTTAGTATCTGTGCTCCTTCTGTAGGTCATCGTTTACAGAAGTAATTTCTAACCGTTATCTTTTGCGAGCTGAAATATGGTCCTATTAAAAATTATGTTCCTTTTTTATATGATAATATTACCCTAAGTTTATCCAATACATTTAAAGTTTTGGTTGAAATTTATTTGCAAATCAACAAAACTTGTTATTTTTGCACCTTCCGGTCTCTGCTACAAATAAAAACCAATGTGACTCTGGTCAAGGAAAGATTGAGAACCCAATCTACACTCTATCCCAATTGCCACCACAGGCTTGCCCAGTTCCTTTGCCATTGTGTCAGTTGGTTCCACCGCTGTCAGTAGAAACATCATAAATATCACCTTTTTTAACCTAAAGTTACATAATTTCAGACCTTGATTCCTTTTGTATTCTGGTCTTCCTCACTATTTTTTTTTCTAATTCGATTGTCTCCTATACTATGGGAATATGAATCAGCATGACCTTTTTGTGTTATCCAAGATATTATACAGAAGGTTTTCATTACTGTTTATGTGGATTCAAACAGCACTTTAAGCTCTTATTTTGATTTTTTATCATTTTCTAGCAGTTAATATGTTAGTTACATTTTACACAACATTATTCCTCAATTGTAAGAAAGGTATAGCATGCGCATTAGCTCCAGGGCAGAACAACATTCGTTGGTTCATGCGATTTTCTGTAATCACTGATAATAAGACCTCCAAATGGTTTTATTAAGGAAAACCGAAATTCACTATCAGTTGCTCGTTTTTTAAATTCTAGCTTTTAAATAATTTGTATTTAATATCTGCTTTTATTACGCTAATATTCGTCCGTTCGTCTCCTTTTTTAAGGTCCTTTTTTAACGTTCTTTCTCTCTAAGATCTAATGTCCAGCAATAACAAATTTTATTAACTTTTCTATAAGTGATCGATCATTTCATTTTTCAGCTTGTTACTCACTTGATCTTCACCGCTTTTCATAAACTTATCCTTTTCCTAATATCTGCTTGAGATCTCCTGAACTTGAACCGGCATTTCCTTTACTCATGTTAATGTAATTATCCAGTTATTCATTCTCTTTTCTATCAGTCTCTCTTTCACAGTATCACCTTCATTTGGTTTTTATCTTGATATTTCTGTACTTTCCAAACTCTTTTCGAATCATTGTGAGTCTGAAGAATCTCTAAATATATGTAAGCTTAGATGTGAATACAAATGTTTGGATATTAATAAGTACAGTTTTATAATTTTACTGTATTTGTATATTTTATTTCTCAAATCCTTCATAATTAATAGATGCAGAATTGTTCACAATTTAGAGACTTCAAGGAAGAAGCAAGCGTGTGTTCAAATTTAGCTATAAAATACTGGCCAGTTCATGTCTTCGGAGGGCGATTGGAACAACTGGTAAGAAATGCAGTCGTGCTGGAAGCTTTGATGGAAGCTGAAACGAAAGTCAGAAACATAAGAACTTGTACGGATATTATTATAATTACTAATGTTAACTTGAAGATTATTTGAAAGAAATGAGTGATCCATATTTAGTTGTTGAAATGGAAAAACAGTCGGCGAGAAGGTCAGACACTGACCCAAAAGCATCTATACTGTTAACGGAATGCGTGGAAAAGAGCGCCGGGTAAATGATGTGCCAGAAGAGTTCAGTAAGTTCCGTATTGTTGCATATTTAATCATATTCTCGTTTGTCCATTTCCATTCATCAGTTTTTCTATGGTAATATAGCTATTTACAATTCGAAATCGATCTTGTTCGAATTGCTATCCCGTGGATCGTTACAGATCTCACCTGCACTTACTAACGTCTCTGAATAGGATAGATATGATTCTTGAAAATATCATTAAATAAACTTAAGATATTTGGTTATAAGTGATTTTGGCCATACTATATGAAGAAGTAACAGATGATAAAGGTGTAGGTGGGTGATGGCATTAAAAATTATAGATCAGTAACAAAAAGGAATATGGCCTTGATAGTCCTGTTTGTTTGGTATATTACGATAACAATTTTGCCTTAATCGTGCAAAAATCTCAATATAATCAAATAAACGCTCTTTACTGTTCCAAGTTCCACTTTCTATCATATTTCTATTCAACCACTTTGAAAATACTCGAGACAAAACCAGTGTTTTCGCAACAGTGCGATCTTTTATTGCTATTCACTATACTGTATCTCCCTTTTGCACAGGTTTCTAGAATTCCTACTACACCAGCTATCTCCGTCTGATCTGATCAGGTTGTCTAACCTCCTATGGATACATCATGCGTGTTCCGCTTCCGAATGTATCTTTTATCACAACATTCAGTAACACTATAAAATGATACATTCATCAATGCAGTTTCGCTTCATTCGCACTCCTAAAAACCCAGCCGAGTTGATCGGAAAGACAGACATCTTCATTCACCATATAATTTTGCACAAGCATTATTTATAGGATACAAAACCTTCCCGAACTGTAAAATATTTGCAGGTGTGAAAACTAAGGCAGTAGAAGTGTTACACCTCCCAGTTAATAACAGCAATATTAGAACCTGCAAGTTGAATGGGTATAAGATTCTTAGAATGCGACATTCCAAACCCAAGCAAATACGGAGGTACCCACAAAATTCAAGTGGAGGTGATGATTTAGCTGGGTAGAATAACCTATAGATATTAATTTTTAGTTTTTTTCTTGAATACTTGGAGCGAATTTAATCATAATTTTTTTTTTCGTTGTTTGGCAGCACAGCTGCAATTAGTTTTTGTATTTAATGTTGATACATGTGTGCTAACAAATTAATGTTGTCGTTTTTTCGAGAGAATACAAGGATTCTTTCCCAGCAATGTCTATCTGTTTAGCCTGAAAAAGTAACTTGGATTGAATAAATTTTCCGAATATTTTGAGACAGTTGAACTGTTGTTTGCAAAAAAGTTAAATAAACTGATAGAAGTTTTACTTTCAGTGATTTTGAGAGAAATAGTATCGATATTTAGCAGAACTGTTTCGTTTCATTTATGTCAAAAAAGTGTATTTTTGTTGCTATTGTAGCCGTTTTATTTTTACTGCATGTTTATTATTTCTCGAAATATTCAATCTATAGATAAATGAAAGATACTAAAGTCATGCATTACTGTTTCATCCATCGAAGATATTCATTCTCTCGAAGACCAAAATTCTGATGGAATAAAAAACGAAAAAAATTGGCAAACAGTCTAAACTATTTTTGAAGAAGGCTTTTTATCTCATACTGAAGTTCTTGAGAAGGAAAAAATTTTCCATCTGGAAAACACTCAACCTCCTCAGCAAATGCTTATTTTTTATATAAGGTACAGAAATGAAGTCTCAATTCACTTCGTATAATGAAAATTCACCACAAGATCAGTCATTTTAAATTTGCTACAAATCCATTGTCATCCTAAAAAGTGATGAGGATGGAAAATTTGTGACTAAAACAGTTCAGTTTAGACTCCCAATATGCTTGACCCACCAGATAGAATCAACCAATACTATTAACACCGTCAATTTTTTGACCAGAATTTATGCCACCGTAAAGTAGAAGATGTTAGGAATATACAAACATCCGCATTACTCTTGCATAGGGGCAATGGTACTGACGTGCGGGGAGGACTCGTGCTTATGCGGGTATAACTTGATCGGTTGACCTTTATATTTAAGTCAAGGGTTCTCAAGTCAGTATAGTGCCTCTTTCATCATTAGGATGCCTTATGTCGATAAAGCTGTACGTAAGCATTCCAATCAAGTGCGAGTCATAAATTTGCCCATTGATTAATCTGCTTTTTCTTCCCTTTTGTCTCCATCAAGTATATATACCACACTTCCAATTTCCAGCTTTAAGAACTCAATACAGTGAATTTCATGGCTGATGAAGTGACATGAAAGCAAATCTCCTTGCCATTGCTTTGTGTTATGCTCTTGTCGAACGAGGTTATTTATTACTCCTTCTAAGAAATTCCATGGATTTGAGTTTTGCAAACATGTATTTGAGGACCAGAATGGAAAACCTTATTTGGGTTCCTCCTTCCACTTCAGCTTTATCTTACTTCAAGAGAAGAATAAAACACCAAGCTGTAGTGCTCGGGAGAGCAAAGTATGATTTTGCTGCTCGAAGGCAAAGTGTTTATTTATCAGAATCATCATAAATATGGAAATATTATGGCACAATTTTGTACTTTTTTAGCAGTGCTAACAAAAGTCCCAGTGTTAGCTCGACAACGGAGAACTATTACACAGTTAATACTAGACATCGACAAAACTACGATCACGTCAACAAAGGAAATCGTTTCTGGTATTGATGAATCGTACCCTGTTCTCATCGCATTGGATGTTGGGAGGGTTCGGAATTATTATATTTCTGAAAATCACTCGGAGGGAGGGCGTAATTTGTATAGTCATACCACTCGTCGGTGACGGTAGTATCTAAAATTTGGCATTGGTCTCTTTGTCAACTAACTATGTATATGGTATCTTTTTCCATCTATCTGGCATTAGTTGCATCATTTGTTTCGATCACTAGTTGATAGAGTACTTCATATCCAATATTTCAATGCTTTGTGGTATACGTCCCATTCGACGAAAATTTCTCTGTACTAGTTAGAATACTACGAAAAAAAAGAAAACTGCATTCCATTGCTGGTATTTACTAACTTGATTACAGCTTTATTATCCCACTAGTTTTTACAATGGGAGATATGTTTTGAAACCATTTAATCTCGAGCTGTAAGTAAAATCAATGTTAAACTGTAACTATGAGCAACTCTTGCAGAACATCTTGGCCTACATGGAAAGCTGGCTGCGCTCATCTAGTGGTAACATTCGTGTAATTGCTTTGGGTGATAGCAGCACAGTTCCATCATATATTCATCGCAGTAGTGGTGTTGCCGAAGAAACAATCACTTCACTTGCTATCGACTGGGTAACTGGCAAACTGTATGCATCTTCCTAAACTTTTTTTATATTTAGTGTATCTTGAAGTGGAAGAAGTAGTCTACTTGTTTTACATTCGTATGGGTATTTTCCACGAAATCGTATTGCAACATCAGAGAAGAAGTATTTGGAAAATATTTAGGTAGCTGAGCCTTAAGCTTAAATTATCTCTGCATGGTGTAAGGGGTCATGTCGAATATCTTTCTTCAACCCCGGTTTCTTGTTCCATTCCAAACACCCCACTGTGTGGATTCATACTTGTAGAATGCTTATGTGTAATAAGGATAATCTGAATTTTTGATATCATGTTACTGCTAATTTCTAGATGGGCGTGAATTTAAGTTAATGCTTTTGAAGCTTTTACTTTGGCACTTTTTTTAAGGGTTGAAAAGGCATGGACTGTCTTGATAAAAAATAATCCAAAAAGTACACTTTTTCGAAGCCACTGCAAAGTTTTTTTTTCGTATGTAGTAGGTAAAGCACTGTGGAGAGGAATCATAGGAAAATAGAGTTTGTGAAAGTTGATATAACTAAAGTGCGTTAGTAACAGTTATGCATATATAAAAATCTATATCGTGAAGTAGTAAGAACAAGATTTTTTATTTTTAAGATACGTGGGTGTTGAAACAGCTAGTATACATAATGCTGGACGCATTGAAGTATGTCCTTTGGTTGATCAGATTTCTTGTGCTGTTGCATTGTATTCCAATTTTGAAAATCAGGATTCTCGGATTGATGCTCTTCATTCTCTTGTGCTTGACCCAGTTGATGGGTAATGATTTTTGTTCTAATTTATCATTGCACCAAAGAATTAGATTTAAGAGGTACCACATATTTAATACTCGCTTCTTGCTTGAATTCCTGCTATTCCTGCTCACTTCGCTTCGTTTTTAAATTCAGATGGACTTCATTGTTGTTTAAATTTATTATTTTTTTGTTTCGAACTTTTTGATAGCTATATGTATTGGTTGAATCGTGTGCATAAACGTATTGAGCGAGCATGGATGGACGGTCGACATCACGATCCTCACTGTTTCAAGGATCATACCACTGATGTGGTTGCTACATCTGCTCTTACACTTGAGCAGGTAAATACAGTTTTGAAAATCTGTACTTATAAGTGTTTGTAAAGAAATCCTCATATACGTTTATAACAAGAACTAGTTGCTGTAGACTGTTCTTTTTATAATAAGGAATAAATTCCTTTATTCCTTATAATAAACAAGGTTTATCTGATCATTCATTTCAACACATCTGTTGACAATAAGGCCACCTCATATTGGAACAAAAAGTATTGATCTGATGAACCGATTACGATCCAATTAAAGATAAGAGTAACCCACCAATCTGGGGTTCTTTTTTTTTCTAATAATTTCAACTATTTTTTTAAGGTAAGTCGAATGCTGTACTATGTTCGTACCCGGACATCACTAGATGATTCACAAATTTGGAGATGTTCATTATATGATCGTGAATCGTGTCGAGCGATTGCCAGTAAAGTCAATGCTTTCTATCTCGATCTTTTCAGTGTAGGTAGTTGGTTCGAAAATCGTTTCGGTCTTGTACAAGAATCTTTGGTTGTAAATCATGCATATGATCATAAGCCGTATGAAGTCGTTGTGATCGAATACTTTTTCTGCCAGTACTTTGTAGCTATAAAGTTTTGGCCTTACCCATGTCTCCGCTTTAATAGAAATACAATTAAGGACTACTTGATATGGACGTCGGTCACAAATCGGAATTCCGGCATAACGGTATGTGAAAAAATGGACTGTGATCGTACAACTCGTGAAGTAATTAATTCAAGTGGTGTTGAAGCTCTTATTGTATTCGATGAACAGGTTCAACCGCTGAGTAGGTTTCTGTACACTCTACATCGGTTCAGTGTTTACATGTTTATGAGATCGATTTATTTAAAGCCCTTAGTGGTGTTGGTATGAAAATATTAATGCTCCAAAAAACTTCGAAGTGTCAACTCTGAAAGTTATTTTTTCAGAAAATTCTTTTATTTCAGGGCAGTCGTTGAATCCTTGTCAATCAAAAAATGGTGGCTGTTCACACATCTGCGTGCTGATTCCTGGTGCACCGTGGCGATCTTGTCTATGTCCAGTGGGAGTGCGACTTCTTCAGGATCGTTTAACTTGCTCACCTAATGGTAACTAATATTTTTCAGTATTATTTATTTCTTTCATTAAACTGTTTGATGGTTAATATACATTTATGAGGGAGAAGTTGGAAAATTTTACGCGACATTTAATTAATGCGGTTTTGTTCATTCTCTATCAAATTTTTGTGTGCTTTGTGATATTGCTTTGTAAAGTTGCTGCAAGTTATGGTAAAAGATATTCGGAAGTGTTAATTTCAGTTTCTACTGTTTTTAAATTTCAGGAATAGAACGCTTGCTATACGTGGCGACCACGTCAGGCTTGATTTTTATTTCGTTAGATACAGGGCATCATACACCTCTGCCACTTCCAAATGCCGCTTCTGAGATACGTGACACTAAAGTTGTGCATGTCGATTTTGATCCAATCGACAAAAAGTTATTTATGATTGACGGAGACATGGGTGTAATTCGTAAATGTAATCCAGATGGCACGGAAATGGAGGTTATTTCTTTATGTTTAGCGGAATTGTTTCAACTTATGAAATTAGCCTGAACAAAGGTGTTTTGGATAACGTTTGTTCTAGTTTCTCGCAACTGCTGAAGAACATTAATTTTTCTTTGTTTCCAGGTTTTTGTTGAAGACTCAAATAAGCTAGTTTCCGATGCTGTGGCTGTTGATTGGTTGAATCGTAATCTGTATTGGTTAGATAGTAACGTTGCACAAATCAAGGTTTTAATGCACTTGTGTTCTAGTGATTGTCTGTTTATTACTTTGAAGATCTTGTATAGCAATCAGAAGCTCAAGTATCGTCACTCGTTGAATAGATCTGTTCACTTCACCTTCATTTAAACATCAGTGGGTTGTGCCGACTGCTATCAGCAATCTCTTTTTGGTTTGCTAGAGATTTTTTGTCATTTCGACACCATCTGATCTTTATCAGTTTAACTTCGTAGAATTTATGAGCTGCCGTTATTGACTTTTTACACATTTTTCTCGTTTTTAACTGTGCTTTATTTAAAATTGCGTAAAAGAATTTCTTTGTATTTAGATGCAAAGCTTATCTAGCAAAGGACGGCAGATAGTAATATCACATGGATTGAAACAGCCACGTGGTTTAGCTCTGGATCCAGATGGTGGCTACATGTTTTTTTCAGACTGGCACGAAAGTACAAGTCGTATTGAGAAAGCATGGTTAGATGGCTCCCGTAGACGAGTACTTGTATGTTTTTGTTCTTTCACAAATTTCGTTCTTTGGTTAGTGTTTCTGTTATATATTAGCATCTTAATTGTTTACGTAGAGAGCAATATTAATATTCAGGTTTCGCTAGAGAAAGATGCTTGGCCAAATGGAATTGTGGTTGATGCAAAGCATAAACGGTTATATTGGGCAGAAGGAAGTCGATCACTCATCAAATCAGTCGCTCTTGACGGGAAGTTGGATGTTCAGGTTGTCTCAGAAAGTGTGAATCATCCTTATTCACTTACTATATTAGGTTGTTTCGTTGTGTTCATTTGTTTACATTCAGAAATTTTTAGATCTTCTGTTCTGTAGACAAAGTTCTAGCAACTATTTTAACCAAGATTTGATGGGGGGCGATAGAGTTGGAGTTGTTGAATCTCATTTTGCAGTACCGTAAGCAAGGTAGTATCATATTACCTTGTCTCCTGAAACATGAAATTTCTGCTTTAATTGAGCATGACGATCAAAGTATTGTGCACAAACCGCTGTATGAAAAATGTGGGACCGTTTTAATTATTCGAGAAATCCCTCGAATAAGAAGTCGAAGTTATAGGATTTCGAATTCCAACTTTATTTCTATTAAAAGGCAATTCTCATTGAACTTGATAGGATTCTCACTTGCAGGTAACTCGTTATACTGTAATTCATTGTATGGTCGTAAGATATCAATGTTTCGTATACCTCGGCACAATGAATCTTTTTTCGATATACAACTCTCTGTGGTATCTGATTCTGTTATCTTTGGTCAGATGGGTATTCGAGCTGTTAATCTGAATCATATCCCGGAAGGTATTTCTCCATGCCAGAAAAGCAATGGTGGATGTTCGCACATTTGTGTCAAGCTGTAAGTTTATGAATTGGAATATAATTTTGAAGCAGTGGAGGTTTATTATTGATTTCTATAGAACACTTATTTCCATGATATTTGTTAGCAAGTAAAATATCATTAAAATCTGTCAAAAGGATAATATCTAACAAACCTTCGGAGTTAAGTTGGTTGAACTACTTTGCTTTTTTCGAATAGTGAAACAAATTGACTGTTTTCTAAATAACTGATGAATGATATGTTTTTTGCAGACCAAATGGCGAAAGAGGCTGTGTTTGTCCGGTTGGCTATGAGTTGCAAGCAGACAGTACAACATGCATTATGCCTACTGCATTTCTCATCTACACACAAAGCCCTGCAGTGAACACAGCTAATAGCATCATGAGAATTTCTTTGGAGGCAGCTTCGGCTAATAACCGCCGTATCAATATTGCTGATATGACATCAGTCCCAGTTAGCGTCGATATCAACCAGGTAACCGACTCAGGTTTTTGTTATGAGTAACATAACCTTGTCTCAACGTGATACTTCGCTTGGTGGTTACGTGGCTAATCACCAGACATGACTCTGTTCGAAGAAGATTCACGATTGCACTACTATATTCAATCGTTCCGTTATTTTTGTTTTGTCCATTAATGCGTTCGTAAAGTTCTTCATGTTATGCTTTCACTTCCATCCGTTAAATTTCATTAATCTCACTACTTTTCCTTTAGAATTCCCAGAGAATTTTTTGGTCGTCAGAAGGACGTGGGAACTCTATTCGTTCATTAGTTCATAGCGCTTTTTTTAACGGCTCTGGTTTGGAAACTGTGTATGAAGGAAATGCAGTGAATTATATTGCGGTGGATTGGATCACCTCAAATATTTATTGGTTAGGCAGTGAATTTTTCTTTTTTTCGGGACTCAAAATATATTGATTTCAACATGGAACAGGAGCAATTTCTTTGTGTAACCTTTCTCAGAGTCCATAAAAATCGGCCATCTTTGAATTCAATTTTAATGTTATTAGGTTTATATGTTTGCTTTCTGAAATTTTATTCATTGTGTCGTATAGATAGCTGATATACTTACGTAAGAAGTGTTGAAATTTGGTATACTTTCAAAATGTCTAAGGAGTTTCGGGTTTCTTCCGAAAGTTAATTTTGCTGAAAGCTCCTATTTGTGATAGTTATGCACGGCTAGGCACAAGATAAAAGATAAACATTAAAAAAACAAAACAGGAATAAGAAAACACTAACAGTTTCTTTTTACCGTATATCTCTTCTCCACTATAATCTTAATTGTTTTAAGGTGTAATATGGAACAGCGTCGAATTGAAATGGTTCGTGGCGATGGGCGTCGTCATCGTACAATTGCGTGGGAAAATATCGATCCTCGGCATCTAGTTATCCATCCACTCCAGCGATTTCTTGTTTTTGTTAATTATTACAATCGGCAAAAAATCACTATAAATGTGAGTATATTGTTTCATAATCTTTTCGTTTCGGTTGACGAACGGTCTAAATTTTGTGAATTCGTTTTTAATGAGAACTCTTCTGAGATCGAAATGGCTGCTTTTTTAAAACTTACTTTATCCTTAATTTCTTTTTCTACTATTTTTTCTTACTGCTTTAACTTACTTTGTTGCATAGTGAGATTCATGCCCCTCTTGTTTTCTGATTTTCTGTTTAGAAATATTCTTTGGAGGATGGTTTAATTATAAACATCTTTACTTTTTGTTTTGAATTTTTACGAAGTATTACGTAATTAGAAGATACCTCTCCACGGCGAGCAATCAGGAGGTCGAGTTATTGTTCGGCAGCTGGACACAGTTAATGCACTTGCGATTGATTTTGATTCTGAATTGTTGGTGTGGTCAGAATTGGACGAACGAGGAGGTGGAGTTTCCATTTCTGACTTCAGTGGTTTGTTTTTTGTCTTCCAAGATAAAAATGTATATTTTTTGATTTCAGATTCATTAACCGATCTACTATTATCTAATGATACTGATTCAATATGAGGTGTTAGGCTAATTCATTTCGTGCTTCACTAAACTGTGACATACGTTTAGTGGTATCCGAAGTTTTTTTCCGAGAGTTTTTTTTTTGTTTTCTATATAATCGACGATAGTGCATTCAGACGGAGTCTACCATGAGAAAAAAAGAAGTCCGTACAAGTTACTCAAGTTATCTACAACAAGTTCTATGCATGTTTAAATCTGTGACAACTACCACTTTTTTCATACTGTTATTGTAACACATTGGCTGTATGATTTGAAATTGATATCATTATGTTTCGAGCCGCGGTTCTAGAAAATCATTTTTCAATGTGAGAAGTCAAGTCATTTGCAGGGAGAAGCCGTGCTCGTTTAGTATATAGTAAACAGTTGTTACCTGCTGCATTAACTGTTTATAATCGGTTAATATACATTGCCAATATGAATAACAATACTATCGATCTGTATAACGGTCACACATTAGCAGTTTTGCATGATGGTGTCAGTCATGTTACGAATCTTGCTGTTGCTCATGGACAGATAAGTAAAGGTGAAGAAAATACTGGTTAAACAGCTTGACCTTATTTAGTGTACATGAACTGGCTCAGTACTTCTGTTGATTACGTAGTGACGAGATGGAATTGTTGAAGAGACTATGACAGGGAGAGTTTGAATTGGAGTCAAAACTTTTCGATAGTTGGATACGAACATGAACTAGGGCACTTTGATAGACGTACATCGCATTGTCAAAGACCTTGATATAATCTGACTTGAAATATTTCACGACCTGTGAGATTACCTATCCTGTTCAGATTGGAATGGTTGTGTTCCAAACAATGGTGGCTGTAGTGATATATGCGTGGCAGTCGATGAAAGTTTATACAATGCAAATGCCAAATGTTTTTGTGAGGATCACTTTACGCTTGATCACGTTGGAGGAAAGTGCTTGCGTAAGTTTTTATTAAGATTTGTCTGCAAAAATTAATATGCAGGAAGGAAAAGAGAGCTCGTATTCTGAATGGGACGTTAATTTATATTTTTCCAAAATACTTTTTCATTTTAGCACCAAAACACTTTCTGTTGGTCGCTATTCGAGGTCACTTCATACGTTTCAACCTGAGACAATCAGTTACCGGTGACATATTTTGGAAAGATGTATGCCTTCGTATTTAGAATTTTCTAAAAGAATCGAATTTTCGAAATCTATGATTTCTTACAATTTTAGGATCCTCATTCAATTTTGTCAGTGACAAATGTTGGCTCACCAATTTCAGTGGCTGTTGACTTATTTTCTGCAAATCGTTCGATTTATTGGATTGATTCCAATGATGACAAAGTTATTAAACGATCATCAGATTTATCACATTCCGTGGTATGCACTTTCAAAGTTACTGACAGATCAAAAGTTTAAAATGGTCAAGTATTTCGTAATTCGTGTTATTTTCTCAATGTCAACAATTATTTTTAGACCCAGACAATTACATTATCGAGACGTTCGAATTGTGCAATACTTTTCCACTTAGCAGTTGATGAAGTTGGTCGACAGTTATTTGTTTCATGTGCAGAACATGGGCTCAGCTATGCGTCATCCATTCATGTTTGGCGTATAAAGGTACTTCGTGTTTACATGTTTACTGTTTAGTTATTGTAACAAAATTATTTTCTTCAGAATAACGATCATTTGGAATATATTGGCGTTGTTGTGTCAGGAAAAGAGCGTTCTCCGGTAACTGATCGACCTCCTTATCCCCGACAAATTGCTCTTTTTCCTCGGCTAAAGTACGTCCCGTTACTCTAGTTTCATCAGACTAGTCTGTGCTTTTCGGTATAATCGTTAAATTTTGGTCGCTCTTGCAATGATGATCAGTTATTTCAGCCTCCTTTTTTACGTAGATGATGGTGGTTCCATTCCTGCGATTGTTAGGTGTTCGTTGAATGGTCGTCAATGTGTACAGTGGGGAACACCAAATCTAACACACACTGTGAAACTTCATGCTTATCAAATCAACGACCGTTTGTACTATACGACAGCAAACGGTAAGTTCTGCATGTTCAGTATGTTATATACGCTGAGAGAGGAATTTTTTGAAATCAGGAAAATTAGTTCACCATGCCATCAGAGATACTGACCGCTGTGTGAAGGTGTTCAGTAGACTTATGATTTCATATTTTGTTACCCAATAAAATGATCTTTCGGGCAACAGGAAAATATTTTTTGCTAATTGCTGAGATGGGTAGATAAGTGAGCAGAAGAACAAACATAAAAAATGACACGCAAATAAATTCAACTTGTTTTTAGGATTATGGTCACGAGATGCACATGTGTTTTCGGACGTACGTCATCACATCAAAGCGCGACCTTCGGATATTGATATGGTTCCAATCACTGAGAAGAAATTGATAATTGTTGCGAAAAATGAATCCCAGTCAGAGTTAATCTGTAGTGTAGTTGCTATGTATTTCAGGGACATGGTGATCAGTTCCTCTCTTTTTGCAATTGCAGATATGATGATTTGTTGTTGGAACTGATGGATGATATTCCTACTGTTTCCTTAGATGAACTGAAATGGAGCACACAGTCGCCTTACTCAGTCAAGCGTATTCTTGCATTGACGGTAGTTGGCAGTATCGAAAGAGACTTTTATGTAAATTTGAACCATACTTGTGCGGTATCACACTGTTCACACTTGTGCCGAGTCCCACGAGATTCCAGGAAACGTCATGAATGTCTCTGTCCTCTTGGATTCGGCTTACAAGCTCCAAGGTCAGTGTTCGCTGTATGATATTCTATCATATTCATATTTGCAACATTTCTAAACCGGAATTATAATTTCAGTGAAACTTTTTGTTTCAAACATGCATCATGTCTGCACTGGCAATTTAAATGTGACGATGGACAAGAATGCATACACGCAATTGCAAAATGTGATGGGCGTCATGATTGCACCGACGGTAGTGATGAATCTTCGCACTGGTGCGGCGATGTTGCCTTTGATAAGTGGCCATGTGACAATAGGAAAACATCAATTGCCCGAACACTTATTTGTAACGGTTATTTATTCATTTTTCCAATTTTGTGTTTAAAAAGTTGGTTTTTCGGATGTGTTAACAGTTGTAGGGTTTGCGAATTCCTCATGTGTTCTTTATTTAGGAGCAGAAGATTGTGCTGATGGGTCAGACGAGGCTCACTGCCGGTGTACCAATCCGCTTTTTTATTTCGACTGTACCTTTGGACCAAATGCTGCATTGCATCCACCTGAATGTATTAATCGAGAGTTGATCTGTAATGGAGTTAGCAATTGTTACGCTGGTCAGGATGAAGAGAAGCAAGTAAAACTCTTGTTGACTTGGTAGACTTATTGAAAACATTTGAAGGGCAAAGATTTTTAGTTCATTAAAATATCGTTAAATACAAAAATCATCATCATGCTTATGAATTTCTAGCTGTGTGCTGAATTTGGTGCGGCGGTAGCAATTGCTCCAACTATATCACCTTCATTCGAATTGATCATACCCTTGGCTGTGTTTTTCTTGGCACTGAGCATTACTGTGAGTGTGTGTTGTTGTCATTTTTCAAAGCATTCATTAGGACAAAATTCAGCTCATGCAACAACAACACATTCACTGCCATTGAATGCTGAGGCGCGAGTTCTACTGCCAGCACATCCAGATGGTACCCAGATTGAGGTATGTCATCAAGGAATTCATTGAAATCCGAGATAATCCTTTTACCACAACCCTATCTACTCGGTAATTGTTGTTTGTAGAAAACACAAGTTTCATTTCATTTTTTGTAGTTCCAATTTCGTACCTATTCTGTTGGAGCATCATCATCGTTGTATAACGCACTGCCTCCACCAAATTCACGGTTTTCAACTGATGCAATTTCAAGTCCTCAGTCACTCACTGGTAATCCTTCAGAAAGGAGTTCCATGTTTGCTGCAGTTAGCGCTCCTGTGGCTAAAACGAATTCTCGGAGATTTTTTGCACCACCACCTTCTGCTGCAAGGTCGTTATAGTTCAATATTCTCACCTAAAGTTCGGAATTTTAACCTTTTGTGCATTTTTAACCGTTCGGTCATTTATAGTTTGTCGACATGTTCTCAGGTTTGACTTACCGTCACTTAACCAGCGAGAAGAGTGTGCACTGAGGACTCGGATTTGAAGATTTATAAATATATTAAAGAAGTAAAGCTTTAAAAGATTGTGTAAATGATAATTAAATATGTTGCCCAAGTGCAGAATCGGTCATTTATAGTTTGTCGACATATGGTGTTGTGAAACCAGCTGGAATGCGGGTTCATTTACAACATGGTGGTGGTGGTACAGGTTCCACTAGAAACAGGCGAAAACAACGACATCGTGCACGTACTGATGGTACCAGAACTCATAGTCCTCCACCATCCTACTCAAAGGTAAACATTGATCTTTTAGTATGCTTATGTGTGGATATTTGATTTTTGCACAGTCAGTTTAGCTAACAAATGGACTTTTTCTTGTATCAAATTTTACTGCAGAACTTGATTGCTCAAACTGTTTATTTCATTAGAGTGTTATGCACAATTAAACTGTGATCTTCAAATTTCTTCATCTACTATTAGTATCTTTCTCTTTCAGCAGAGTTCATGTTGGTCTGATATTTAGGTCTTTATGATAATCCTGCATGTAAAAATTTACTATTTTAGGTGATGACGATGATCAGTTTGAGAAGCAAACTTTGTTTTTCTCATGTTTGGTTTTCAGGTTAAAACCACTCGTCCAGTTTGTATTGATCCAGGCGTAGGATGCAGTGACGAAGAGTCTCAACAGCTGCAAGTGCCAACGAATAGTAGAATTGTTTCTTCAGTAGATTCATCATCAGTGGAAAGCACGAAACGTGTATTATTACCAAGTAGTCATTTCATCTCATCCGTTAAATTTGCTCAGCAACAGCGCCTGCTCAGTTACTCGTCGACGTCTTCTGATGTTTCACTTGAGTAAGGAGGTAAAATGCTGTTAATTGATGGTTTAAAGAAAACAATTGAGAGTAGATTTTACTGCAGTTGTCTCTCTAGCTAAAGGGAGATTTCTAATGCTGTACGCAGAAATCGGCTTGCATGTGTGTGTTTCGATGTTTCTTTAATATGACAATGTATAAAGAACTATCCAACTTCCACTGATCTCATTTATTCATATTTTGTTTTTATATAATCGTTACTCTTATTTATCTTTCGATTCTGTCATTTATTAGTTACTTGCTGTTAGTTGTTATCGTGAAATGCGTTGCAATGGTTGAAAATGTTCTAATATTTAAAAGGTTCACGGGAATTTATTCTACAGTAACCATGAACAAGTTGCTGGAAATGTTGTTCATAGTTACATTTGAATTTTAGAATCCGAATGACTTCTCAAGGCACTTTTACATTTTCTCAAGAAATATGACTGCGAATATACATCAAATTTTGTGTTATATGGCTTTTTTTCTAATTCATTATATTGTCAGTGTTCCAAACTGTGAAATATTTTTTTATTGTTAAGTAATTTTCTTATTCCTTTTCTTTACTCTTTTATGTTGAAAGTTTAAGGTATGGTGTGAATTTATATGAGAAAAAAAGTTGAAGAAAATGAAGATTGCTAGTAGCCTAAGATTCTCCAATTTGTCCTATCTATTATTATAACAAGTTTCCTATTCTATGTGGCTGCAGTTAATATAGTTCTCAACGATTTTCGTATGTCACTTAGTAATTCGTAGAAAATGCTATATTTTATAGGGTCTATTTAATCAATGAATTTTGAAAATAGCTCCTAACTGCTATTGTTTTTATTTGCTAAATTCCACAATTCGGGTCCATTTCAAATTTTTACTACTGCTTGTTATGACGTTTTACTTTTGTTTCCACAGTATGTCATCTTGAATCTGAGCATAAAGATTAATTATTAGAAAAGAAAAAAAGTTTGCTTACTCTTTATGGGAGTGGATTTTCGGACGTGGAGGAGATACTGTGCACTAATTGTGGATGGATACTGTCTTCTTTCAAGCAGCAATTTATAGATTATGTATAGGACCGGTGCTAGTAGGTGATTTATATGTTTAAAACAAACTCTATGGAATTGGAATCTGAGACTTTTTGCTTGTTCACCGTACTGTTAGACTATTCTGCGTGTAGGAGGTATAATTGTTTTCCATCTGCTACCCCCATCAGATAGAAAAATTTTTTTGTGTATTGAACTGGATTAGTACCTAGGTGATCAAAATTTATTAATTCGGGAGTAAAGTTTTGTTTGGACCGAAAAAACATTGACTGACTTCAGATTTTTCTTTAAGTTTAGACTTTAGATTTTTCTTTTTTAACTTTAGATTTTTCTTTTTTGAGAATATGTGTGGGAGCCCTCTTTTTTGGTGAACTTTTTATAGCCGAGGAAAGGGAAACTTGACATCGAAGTTTCGACAGTACTTCTTAGTCAGTAGTATTTAAGACGTGAAGTATGGTGTAAATGTACTGTTAGCATGTAAAGTCGTGAGATGAAGTAGGTACATTCTTTACAGGACTTATTACTTAAGAGCATAATGTTGTCATCAGTTTTAGCGACAAGACAACATGATGTGTTTGTTGAGGTCCGTAGGAACAAGGATTTGCTTTTTTGGGCGAATCTTACATTTACAGCGGGCTTTTGATATTGATTGTGATCTTATAACTGATAAAAGCCACTTCTCCAACATATGATCGACGCATTTCTTCTCAACTTCCCTTCTACTATGCAGTTTTTCCGTATCTCTGTAAAGAACCATTTTGTTTTTCGTGCAGATATATCTTATTTTTGAGAAATTCAGGTTCTTAGAAACGTCGTCAAAAATTCAGTTTTTGAATTTCATTCCTTCATTATCTGTATAACAGCACAATTGAAATTGATAAGATAAGCTAGAGTTTACTAAACAGGTGGAATCAGGAGCAAGTAAGTCTTACGCAATGTTTAAAATGTTTCTCTTCATTCAGAATCTTTGGCTTCCTTTATACTGATAATCTTTGCGTGACTTTTCTCTTTAAATTTGAAAAATCCGTTCTTTCTAGAGGACTGAAAGCAGATGGGACTTTTGTTCGCTCAAATCCTTTCAATTTGCCGAGTGTAACATGTTTTAGATTGCATTTTTAGATCTGAAAATTGGGAGCTCTCGCATTCAATTATTCTTTTTTGTTTTGAATATGGCTCGGAAATTTTGATTTGTCGCTGGATCTTTTTTCAATAAATGCAAATCCTTAGCTGCTGGTATGAGCCGATAAATGTACCATTGCATTCAAAATATACCTGAAATTTCGTAATCCATAACACAATGTCCACTCCAGTAATGCAGATTTGAATATCGAGTATTTCAAATTTAAGAAGGCGTGTAGTGGTTTCATATTTTGACTGCAATGCTAGATATTTCCAGTGATGTACATACAATTCATCATGAGGAGTGAGTGTCGAGAAAGTCGGTGGATGTGGTTGACGGAATTATGGAAGGAAAAGGGTTTGGAGGAGAGACAGACGATGAGTCATGTTTTTCTTGTAACAACCATTATAGCAATATGCTATCGGTGTGTTGCTTTACATTTTTGGTACTGATACTGGCATAAAAAACAAATCCAACATAGAGTACTTTCTAAAATGGTTGTTTCTTTCCTTCTCTATCATTACCCTCACTATTTGCAACAAATGGACAATTAGTTCCTCATACAACTTTTGATCTTAATCCACCTTTTGTTGTGACTACACTCCATTCAATGAAGCACGTTGAATGTCCCAATCTTACACTCAAATAACGTTTTTGATTTTGACATATCTGTTACAATCGCAAACTGACCAATAACGAGAATAAATCACGAGAAGTTTTTAAAAGAGTACATTTTCCAGACCAGAAAATTTCCGATACTTTTCAACTTCATTTGTTTCAAGAAACCGGTCACTCAGCTATCCCGTAATGCGTGATGGTGAACCGGAATCGCGAATATCTCATCCTTCTTGATTATAAATAAGTCTACAATGTATTTATGGCTATATCTGACGTACAATTGATCGCATCTGAATAATTTCAGGAATAATCGTACTTCCACTTCAAACGAATTTAGCTTTCTGCTTTGTGAATTCCTGACCGATATTAAACGATGGATTTTAAATTTATTGTTATGAAATTATGACGCAATAATATTGTTTACTATTTGCGAAATACTGTAAAACTGTCCTTGATTATATAATGTGAGTTTAATTTATATCTTGTCTCAAAGGAGTTTTATTGACGATATATGAAATTTCACAAGTATTAGAAACGGGTTAAGCTCGATTGTATTATGATGAATATTATGATGGAACCATATTAATACCACAAAACTTTCCTGAAAATGATAAGTTTTAGGAATAAAATTTTTGAAGAGGAAATCGGTGGAAATGTTATATTACTCTTAATGGGTTTTTCGGGCATACATCTCACTTATCTTTTCCACTTTAGGGACTTTTTTTTTGATTTCTGTGCTGCAACGGAAAATTTTTAAAGTCATTTGCATGTTTTGAAGGTTTTGAGTTGAAAATACTTGACACTGTGCTTGATTCTTCCTCTTTGGTTAACTAGCATTCTTCTTTACAGTGTAAAGGTTACTGAAAACACCGGGTCTGTCTGTGTTTAGTTTATTCCCATAAGAGATTGTAAAAAAAACAGGCGTGTCTTGCAACGTTTTTGGTACAATTTTCATTCTATTTATGAAGCTATCAAAGAAAAAAAAAAATTATTTTGAGAAAAAAAAATTCACGCTTGCTTCCTATACACACGAAACAAAATAACTCACGAAACAAAATAACTCTAAAGCTACCTGTTCTCTTTCAAACGATTTCAATTGATGTATTTATTGTGATAAGTGATTGTCGGTATTTTACTAAACAAAAAAAAATATATGTATAACAATACCTCTTAACTTTCGAAGGATATACACAGCGTTCTGGATATATTTCCTTCTTCATTAGCTCAGATAGAAATTTCAAATTTGTCAGTGATACGTATTGAGTGCAACAATGATTTGTTGCAATAAATAAATCACAGTGTTTCGTGTCGAGCAAATATGATTCGTAACAGTTGTCACTTCACAACAACCTCTTGTATTATCTCAAATGTACCACTGTCCTGCTTTTGTGCAGTTTTTTGTAAAAAAAAGTGTTCATTGCTTCCTGCTTCCTGACCCTTTGCTCTTTATATGGTCTAACCAAACTTTGAGGATTGATACTGGCGTTTTAACATTATTCGCTTTACAAAATAAACTCAAGAACATTTCATGTGTTCAGGAATATTGGTCAAGTAAATTAATAGGCTGAAAGATATAACAAATTGGTAAATAAGTTCTTGGGATTGGGAGTGAAAACTTCGGTTTGTTGGCCGTTTATGTCTCACGTTCCGATTATTGTCATGCTTTCCTTATGAAGTTTTTAAGCATTTAAAGTTTGGTCTGCAACAAATCCTTTTTTGTTAGTGTTTTGTAAACATTAAATGATATCATTTATGGAAAAGTTTGTTTGTTCTCCAGAAATTTATTTGCATTCGCTGTGGGTAGTGAACCGAAACTCAATTCTGTTTGCAAAACTGAAACCAATTTACATAGGTGATACTATCGCCTTTCTTGTCCCTCTCTTTTCTTCCCAAATATTGTTATGATAATAATTCCTCTCGAACAATTCGTGATAATATGGTGTTTATCCGACTAGGCATTTGAATGCTTTACTTCATCACTCCTCAAACACTCCTTTAGTAAATCATATCATTAAAAGGCTATCTTGTAATAAATCACAACGAACGTAAGGTTTGACTGCCCACCGCATTATTACTCCTAACTAGGCTTTCCTCTCATTTGCCAAGAAGAGATAGCAAAACTGTTTTCCTATTGATATTTATGTGGATCTCTTACCAATTACAAGAAATCAATGGCCAACAGTGGCAAATAAAAACTCATCATTAATAACAGCCCGTAAAAAATTAGTTTTTGAAGCAGATACGAATTATTAGGAGAGGGAAACCTAGTTAAGAGTAAGAGTTAATCACAGATTAAATTCAAATTACACCCTATAGATTAAAATTTAAAGATTTACTGAGAATCAAAAGGAAAGATTCTGTAAAAATTAATCGTCATAGAAGAATTATTACAACATTCTCCTATGACGATAAGGGCTTGAAGAGGCGATTTATGGTTTTCATGGTCCACCACATTTTGACCATCGATAATTGGCTGCCGCACCAGATTCCATTATTCAGTTAGCGCAACTCTAATGATTTATAATATTTCTACAGTAGTAATGGGTCTATTCCATACTGTTTTTCAACAAATAATAATGCAGAGGGCTTGAGTGTTTACCGCAGTGTGATTCCAACAGCATTGTCAATCATTTTTGGGTCACTTTCAGATTGTTTACCGCCAACAGTCTTTTAACTTTATCTCATCTCAAAATAAGTCCTCTAATCCTGTTTGAAGCATGCTTAGGAGTTTTGATAAACGACTTTTTAGATTCTTTTAATGATTCTTCTAATATTTATGTGCCTTTTTAATGCCGCAAAATACCTGCAGGAGATCTGGATCAAGACTTTTCCAAAAAGTGAAAATGCGCATAATCGAGGTCGGCAAAGAACTTGGCTTGAATGGGAAAGTTCTTTTAAATTTAGCATTAAGAAAGAAGGCTCTAATGGTTGCCAGCCTTGCAAACAATGAAGCAGTGGTAAATATGAAAAATAAACTTGAAGAGATTGCGTTAAATTACCTATACTTCTTATCCCCGTCAGTCGGCCTGCTACCCCTCATTACTTCCTATCTATCGCTTCTTTTCTACTTCTAAAGTTTACTTAACACTTGGATATCGATTGTTATTGCTGCTTGAATGCAAACCAAATAATATGCTCATTACCAAGGAAGGAAGACT